GTCGACTGTGATATATATATATATATATATATATATATATATATATATCAAATGGAGTAATTAATTAAATCCTGAAATATTTTACTGTTACATAAATTGCGAGTACGATGTCGTTTTATGACAGAATATAAATTAAATAATAATAATTTTTTGCACAACTCCAAGATTTCACTCGCGTTTCAAACGTTGCTCACATACGAACTAGAGCATATCGCGTTTATTGTGTAATTTTCCTCGGGCGAAAATTCACGAGTGTTACTTGAAATTGATTCTCTCGCGCGGTGTGTGCCACTTGCCGACCGTACGTTGTTAATTAGGAACTCAAAAGGACCATTCGTCGCACCTGTCTCTCACTTTAGTCGCGGTGTCAACTACACTATCTATCTCGCAACAATTCGCGATACATACATATACTCGCACACACATACACGCACTTATTCTCTTTCTCTGTAGCTGCCTATACAAGCCACTATATCTTATGTTTCTGCACGCAGCTCATGTGTGTCGTCTGCATATGTATTGCAGAGCGTATGTATGTATGTGTGTGTACGTGTGTCTCTCTTTCTCTCTCGTTAACCGTTCACTGTTCTGTATACGTGTGCGTACGCTCCTAACAAGCTTTCCAGCTTGACGAAAGCGCGCACTTTAACTCGCGGTTCACACTCGAGCGCCCGAATGCGTGCACTCGAATTAACACGCTCGAACAAGGCAGGCGCGAAAGTAAAGCAAACATAGCGAGCGACACTCCGCACACGGATGTGACGCTCCTGATGCACTATTACACTTATTATCCCGCTGGCGCTGCCATTGAGCACAAATGTCCCATGTATGAGCGCGATGCCTGCACGTGGAAGTAGATTTATCTGATGTAAAAAGAAAATATTCGATCAGGAAATATAACTAATGGATAATATATGGCTCTATATTTAACAACGCAGCTTTAACAATACAACGTAGACTTCAAAATTATAATGTGCATGGTACTCTAGAATGCTCTGAGTCTCACACTTTGAGAGAAGTAGATTTTCCTTTCTGACGCTGCAATGATATCTACACTGAGAGAAAAATTGTTGACATTTGTAACTATATATAATTACTATATAATTATGATTATGACTACTATGGTATTAATAATAGTAACTATATGCATAGTTGACAACCAAAATGATTATAATTATAATTATTAAAATTATAAAAATGATTGAAATTACTATAAAAAACGATTCAAATAACTATAATTATATAGTCATAGTTGGAAGATAACCATATTAATATGATTGTCCCAAAATATAGTTATTATTACTAATATCATAGCAATCATAATCATAATTATATAATTATAGTAAAATGTAATTATAGTTACAAAAATTTTTCTCTCAGTGTAGAAATATGATTATTTGATATTGCATCAACGAATATTTTTTAAATTTTATTTTATCGCAAAATATTTTTTGGATTGATACTTTTTTCTCTAATAATCTTCGCAATTACTTAAATTTTAAGAAGAATCTGCCAAGTACCATTCGAGGTTTTATTCAACTTCCTACTTCTCTCGACGAGAGGTTCGACGAAAATACACAGTGAATGGTACGTGACATGCATGTGCAGTTTCCTTTAACACATGCATATATTAACCCGATTGATAATATACCGGAGGATGCTCGTGGAGGCATTTATTATTACCCCTTGTCCTCCCCGATCGCCATCCAAACTCCGTGTCCTTCGACCTTATTGGGCGGGGCGAGGGTGCACCGAGTAACGGCGTGCTACGCCTCTTTGACAGATTTGAACACGGTATTTTAGCTCCATTAGTAGAGAGTAGAGTGATCTAATTTCTCCCTTTTCTGGGCGTTGGTAAGCACCAGTCTCTCGAAATTAACCCAGTAATACGAGTCGGCTGGCCGTGTCGCGAACCCTTTGTCCACTCCTGGCAAAAAGTACTCGTGTTTTCATAGTAGGGAATAATTCTTATGCGTTACGTCGAATATATATATATGTATCTGTGAGCAAACAATTTTACACTTGTATCGTAAATCGTTTTTCGTTGACGGTATTCTTTCCATTAAAATAAAAGGCACATAGATAATCAATTGAGACGCGAAATCCCTCAATAATTATCTCAATACAAAACCTCGAAGCTAATTGAAAAATATCAAAAAGCATCTATGATAACGTACCAACGGCCAGAAAAAAGAAAAAACTACCGATAGAAAGGAATGTCAGGTTGGCTCTTTTTAACGCCTCCCCCGAAACAGACCCGAAGTCCACAAACGGAATGCTCTTTCGCATTACTTGATCCAATTGCTAGCTACACATTATTACTCTCTCACTCTCATTTCTTTCAATACTTTCTTTCTCTCTCTTTCTCTATAATTCTTTATCCGCCCTACCTTCTCTTCAGTTTCTCTCCTCTTTATGCATATTTTATTGCCTCATTGTATACATCCATCTTGTGTAAAAAGAACGACGTAGTCCCGCCTGTACATTTTGCCAGGTTCGGCACGAGCTCTGTGGCTGCCAAACACTAAAAGCCTAGTCAGTAGTCTTTATGCGGCCAGGTATCAACTGTGGATACACGTTATTAAAATTCTCGTATACATTATAATGAGTCTCGCGAAAATTTAAATAATAGACCATATGTTTGCAAGAATTAATTAGTTTATATATTGCGTAAATCAGTTTTTAGAATTTATTTAATATAAGCATGTATGTAGTAAGCATGTACGTAATTCATCTATTTTTTAGCAACATTTTAGGATTTTATTTAAATTGCTCTTAAAATAGACTGTTCAACTAATTTATATACAAACTCACGCGATGAATAAGAATGCGCGACGATGTAAAGGATCTTGTTTGCTTAATAAATTAACGCTCTGTGCCAGTAAAGTTAATCCGCGACAAGAGGATTTTTTTTTTACATGGAGACCACAGCTTTTAAGAGTGCCGTAAAATTACGATGCAGTGACGCTTTGAAGTTGTTTACTTTACCAGCCAGTGATTAATTGACTTTTTGCGTGTTCGCATGTTCCGCAACGTGTATCCACGGTCAATGCTCGTCCTCGCCAAAGTAGAAAAATCCCGCTCCGTAACGCGCCAATGTTCCTCAGTGTATCTGCTGTTCACAAAAATCTCAACTTCCTGTTCAATATCGGCTATTGTCCTATTTGAGTCGGTCCGGAATTCCTTTCATATGATTCTTTGCGAAGTTTTTCCGTCAAATGCATCGTACCTCATATCGATAAGAAAACGAATCATGTCGATCGCAACACTGGCAATAAATCTACAATATATTTTATTGCTTCCGAATTATTATAATTTGATGCACTTATTTTTGAACATGATTTTATAAATTATTATACGGGCATTTGACTTTCAGGTATTTCCGTTTATATTTCGAGAAGCTATTTAAACGAAAATCTATTTTTTTTTATCATCAAACACGTATAATATAAAAAGAGCGTAGAAAATTAAAATTTTATTATCAATATAGGAACACATCATAAAATGTAAGATTCTTTCAAATGTTTATTGTAAATCAATAAGATATTTACATTTATGATATTACGATGTCACGATACTATATCATCGTTCTTTTTCATCACTAAGAAATAACCAAGAGATCATCCGTTTCATTTTTTTCTTTTTCCTTCTATGTATATATCCATCTGTCTTATCCATCTAGCTCCAAGCAACCATCGAACAGTGTGACATGCGATCGTAATCGGAGGAGAACCAGCGACCGTTTGAACAATCGCCTCACCCATTATCCTGAGCTGCCCTCTCCCGTATGACCGTATGACCCTCTCTGTCTCTCTCTCTCTCTCTCTCTCTCTCTCTCTCTCTCTCTCTCTAAAAAACTCTCTCTCTCTCTCTCTCTCTCTCTGACTTTTGTGCCCCCGGCCCTGCCAAGCCAGCCAGCCCCTAGCCTATAGCCCCCAAACCCCTTTTGCCCACATAGGTAGAGTGCCATGCCATGCGTGTTCGCTCTTGCTGTAGGTATGTCGCGAGTTTCAACGCGGGGCGTGCAAACGCGGCGAGACGGAGTGCCGGTTTGCGCACCCCCTCGAGACGGTGCAGGCGAACGAGGACGGCTCTGTGACGGTCTGCATGGACGCTGTCAAGGGCCGATGCAATCGGGACCCCTGCCGCTATTTCCACCCCCCTCTGCACCTTCAAGCCCACATTAAGGCCGCACAATCTCGGGCTAGCATTGCGGTAATGCATTCTCTCTCTCTTTCTCTCTATCTATCTCTCTTTCTCTTTTTTATTTTTCTACCTTTTTCTTTTTTTCTTTTATTTCTCACATTTTCTTCCTTTTTCTTGATACATTAATTCTCACGACTATTTACATTTCTTTTTTATTATTCCCAATTTTTGTTTATTTGTCCTATTTTTGTTTGCGCTTTTGTTCTGTCCTTTCCAAATATTTCTTTTAATTTGATGACTATTTTGAGTCCAGCCATTTTCCTCTTAACGAAGTCCATACTATTTGCCTCTTAAATTCTCTTTAGGCGACACAGAGGATTTCCTTGTTGTTTTTTTCTTTATCACACATCCAAATTGTCCGTTCTGTTTTTATTTCTTCATCTTAATTGTCGGTGAATTGCGACAGAAATTTATTTTATTGTTGGATACAGCATAACAAATAAAGCAAGATACCAATTTAATATAATCCAAGAAAATATTTTATGGTGTCGCATGGTTTCTGGCGTCAAAACACCGATACTATATTCAGTGTCAGCGATTGTCCCATTAAACACAATATCCGCATGAATATAAATGGTTTTATAAGGGCTTCTAGTTTTTGTGACGGAATTTATTTTACGAAAACGTTGACAGGGAAACGTTATTTAGATTCATACATTATATGTTGACGTAGAAAAAATGAAAATATAATATGTATGAAAAAAGCCGTTTTTATACAAATTTTTTCCTCGGTATAGTTCTGTTACAAGATTAAACATAAAAATTCTTCATGTTAATGGGTCAACCGTGAACGCTAATAATCTTTTTTTTTCTTTCTACTTTCTTCTTTTTCTGCCTTTCTGCCTCTTTCCAGCCTCGACCTCGCAGATCGTTCCATGTGGCGTGTGCTTCATGCAAGTGTGTCGTCTCTTTTTTCATTTTTTTTTTTAATTATCTTTCGCTGAAAATTGGTCGATGTCAAAAAGGGTAAAGTAATGCCCGATGCTCTATCCTTTTCATTGTTGGGCTGCGATAACAAAGTACAGTGGTGTTGATGTCGCTTGTCGTGAAAGAAAAGTGACGGAAGTGTGTATCGCGGTTTCACTGTTGTTGCAAATGCATTTCTGTCATTAAGAGAAATTATTTATTAAATCTATATCGTAAAGTGTGAGTGCTTTGTGACTCAAAGTGATGTAACGGATTGTCCTATTCATTTTTGAAAAAGAAAGAATATAAATTAATTAAATATTATGTGTAGAATATAATACAAATGTAACATTACATATCAATTCAGTATATTGTATCTAAAGATACATAATTATTGATTATCGAAAAGGAATGAAATTAATTAATAAAAAACATTAATTTAAATTTTATCAAATACGTTTCATATTTCATTCTTATTATCTCATTTTTTGCGATTGATTAAAAATATTACGTTACATTAAATTTAGTTTTAATATTACAAACGAAATGAATTCGCAATCACAAATATTCCGCACTTTAAGAAATAATTGGAAATTATCAATGCTAAAAAAGAAAAATACATCGCGCTTTTGCCTAACAAGCTTGGAAAAAATTGCTCTATTTTTTTCTTTTTCTTTTTTATTCGTATATACATAATTTCTGATCTTGATAAAAATTTAATGCATTTTTTTTAATTATTACTAAATAATCATATTAACTCTGTTTATAGTAACTGAGAAGTAAAACTATTTGGATTTCAATCTAAATATGACGCTTTGCCCATAGCTACTATACACAAAAGATCTGCAAAATCTGAATCCATTTACAGACCAATAACAATAACAATAAATAAAATAAAAATAGGATAGTAAATGGATTATGCTATTTTAATTAATAATAATCTAATAATACTACTAGACAATGACTGGATAAGTATTTACGTAAATTGCATATTATTTTTGTTAGAAAAGTGCTTTAACTGAATAAAACTCAAGTTTCATTCTTGTTTATTTCCTATGTAATACTTTAGTTATAACGTAATGAGAATACAGTAATACTAGATAGTATAATTGAATGGGTTTAAGAAAAATGCATATATTTTTACCAGGGTAGCTTCATTTATACTCTCACATTGTTATAATCTCCACTTTCTTTCTATCTCCTGTATATGGTGGCTTGATTACGATTATATAACGGTCCCACTGTACTTTTTTCTATCAAAATTACGGCTGAATGGACGAAAATTCAAAAATTTCGAGAAATCGAACGGATAGAGAAGAATATCGATACACTTTATCGATACACGCGATACTCTCAGAAAGTCTTTTATGTAGGCTAAGGATGTCGTCCGCGAAGAACAAAAGACTCGAAGTGCACGCATGTTCTCCTCAACCGCACATTGTTCCCTTTTCCTTTTCAACCTTTGTTTTCTTCCTATCTCGTTTCTCCTATACCCCTGAAAGCATAGTTCCTTTTCTCTTACTCTTAATCTCACAAGTTTTCTCTCTCTCTTTTTCTCTCTTTCTTTCTCTTTCTTCTTTCATTTATCATCACCCTTCCTTTCTTAGTTTTGCATCAAAAGAAGCTTTTGCTGCGCTGCTTTTCGCCAATCTACGTCGAGTATGTACATCGCCGGTCTTTTTCCTTGATAATAATAGTCCCTTTACGTGCTTCACACTATTGAACACGTATTAAGTTTTACATAATGCCGATTTATATCACGAATGTATTTATACATACGATGTCATCGCGCGCGAAGGCAAATTAAGATGGAGCAATAATATTGGCCAATTGTTGCGCAGTGTTAGAATTATATGATAGTTGTGCTAGGAGTACGATGAACTTTTGTCATTTAATAATATCTGTCATGCAAATATTACACATCTATGGATTGTTTTAATTAAACTTGTTTAAATGTCACGATACTAAAATGATGATACATATGATATTATACAAAACAAATTTTTTCTGACTTATATATAATCTATAATACATTCTTGCTTTATGCATTTATCTAATCAGTTTACATTTTAGTTTTATGAACAAAAAATGCGTGATATCGTCTCCTACATAATTACCATACAGATTTATTTCGACATCTTTTTCCTTACCTCTGAATTTTTCCGATTATTTCCTGATCTTCTTATAATATAATTACTTTCTTTTATTATTACTTGATTTTCTCCCAACAATCGTATAGTTCTCGTCCCATGTTTGTCGCTTTTGTGTTCGTCCATATTTTACATCTCCTGTATGATGTTCAGCCGTTTCTGTAGTGTGTAGTGAGTAGTACACGAGGCAAAATTCTTGTTAACATCACCAAAACACCACTGTTCTATTTCTCTCTTTCTAGCAGCCTATCGCAGCTATCCAGGTGCAAAGAACTAGTTGCAATACACCAATCACCTGTTCGGTACTTAGGTCATAATAATTACAAATACTTTTGCAGCTATGTGCACGTTCCATTTCCTTCCGATATAAAAAAAAAATACTGTTAAATATTTGTTTTTGTATTATTGGTACATTTTGTATTATTGATCCAATTTCATTTCCATTATCCAAGTGAACATACACATTAATACATTAAGCATTTTAAACTAGGTAATCATATAAGTACGAAATGATTATATAAAATTATACAATTTCAAGTCTTATTATATAATTTTTAATGAATTTATTAATGCAACATTCATATACGAACCATGTATTGTTTATATGTGCATTGTTAATGGAGGAATTTTTGGATTCAATTGGATTGAAATGAAGAAAAAATGAGGAATTGGAAATGGAACGTGATCACGTTCTTGTAAATAAGATGTAGTTGAGAAAAAATATCTCTTACGAATGACACGTACACCACCCTGCTGACAAGCTGTGCTGCACGAAACCCGGCTATCAACCCCGCTGCTGTTTTTGCTGCCCCACACAAAAACGCTACACTAAGAGTTCCCGAAAGATACATAGAAAACGAAAAAAAAAAGAACCAGTAGAAGGAAGAAACAGATACGACGGGTTTGTTGGGAGGTGTGTGGGCCAGGCGATAAAATGTCTTTGTCCACTTCCGTTGTCAAATCTGTCTCTTAATTTTCTCAATCGCGCGCGATCGCGATAACGTTAGCATCAAGCACGAGAAGATTGTGTAATTTTCGCAGTCACGGAATGACATGAAGAATTGTTAGCGACGTACTCGCTCTTTCGATTCATTCAATTAAGCAGGATCTAAATTAGAAGATCGTTCCTCCGTCGTTGTCCTTCAACCGATTTTAATCTGGAAATACGTCTCTTTTGTTGTCGTTTATATTATAGCATTATTATTTCAATTAAAAGGAGAATTATTCGTATCCTTGAAAATTGGGTCGGAGGCTAACGATTTGACTAACGAGTTCACTCCGGTTAATGAACGAATAATTGGTTGGATCAGGATTTGCAAACGTGTTTAGTGCAAAGTGCAACTGGATGACGACCGTTCCGAAGTCAGTTACGTATTTGTAAACAGCGCGGGGTGGACATACCCCGTTTCCTGCAGACTCAATCATCGTGTTTTCAATCCGTGAACTTGTCTCGGGGACACGATCGTATTCATTATCTGGGGGAAAAACAGTCCGAAAAGTAACGGCTAGAGAAAAATAAAAGCTGGAGTAAAAGAGAGAGAAAGAGCGAGAAAGACTTTCAGCGACGTCGCGCGGAAGATCTGCAGCCACACCCGGACACAATGGAGGAAAAGTCTCACATGGATGATTGCGGCAGACCAGCTTGTTGGCAGGGAAGTCTCATTCTCTAAAAGTGGTTTTCAATTTCCCAAGGGTGCATACCGCGTACCGACAGAATCACCTCCGTCCGAATTTGCCTCAGGGGTTACGGACCGACGTGAATCTTTTAGAAAACGAAACACGACCACGATACGGGGGGAATGTTTGTTTTACCAGTTCGCTCAGTTTTATTCCCTTTTTCAGATGGCCCATCGATGGTTCGACGTCTCGTGAGAAAATTTAAACTGCAGATTTTATTTCTAGTTTTTAAATTCGATAAAGTTTCGACATATCCTGTGATTTTAACCTACCGGAACTGACGCCAAAATATAGGCTTTCTACAATAAGCCATCTAAGTTTTAAATCTTACTCCATGAGAAATTGATCAACATTGATCGAATGTGAGAAAAATAATCGATATGATTATTTACTGATAACTATGATAACTATGATTGATTAATTTTTTAGTTTAAGATTTAAATCTTAGGCAATGTGGCTTATTATAGATACAACAGTTACTGACACTACATTATGAGTTTATGTTAATTAAAAGGCACTATTAATTAATTTTAAGGGGATAAAATAACAAAAATGAATGATTTAATAATAATTTAATAAGAATAATAATTTAATAAGAATAATCCATATTTTTAGACATAATATCAAGAAAATTATTTGAATTTTTTGATAAAGATTTGTAATATAAATGGGTTTTATACAATCAGTTCCGAAAGATTAAAGTAATTAACCTTTAAGAAATTAGTAATTCTGAAATTTAAAAAAGAATATTAATATTATACGTATAGTTATGGTTTACTTTTGTTTGTTAAAATTCAATAAGATCGTTATTCCAATAATAAATTATATGTTAACATAGAAAAACTCACAATATATGATAAAAAATGTTTCGTTATCTTGATTGATACAAATTGTTTGTATGCTTGATATGCTCTAAAATTATTTTGATATGAAATATTTTAATAATGTATTATGATGAATTTCAATTAAATTTTGTAATCAATCTCGATTATACTGACGACGTCGCCAACGAAGGCCATTTTAAACCGCATCGTCGTGACGTGATGCACTCTTCGGAATTGGTATGCCATACCTGAATGTTTACCAAGTGTACGACACGAAGTTCCTAAGCACGTAAGAGTGCAGATCTATCACTGAAACCGCATACGACACGTGCGAGCTACACAAGCTCGCGCATTCTCGATCTGTACAAAAACAAAATCATTGTCGCACATGTAAATATACACTCGCATGCACACTGTGCACACATACACATATAAACATACATTATACAGACATATACCAGAAAAATTATCACGACACACTGTTATCCTGTTCCTTAAAGAAGATGCCGACGACAACAGCGAGTTCTTGAATAAGAAGACTTGAACAAGAGAACACCGTACACTTGGATGTTCGAGAGAAATGGTGTAAATTAACTGATAAACTAAACCAATGTCTCTTTCGTAAATTTTTCAGGTATTGTAAAGATAGAAAGACGAGAAGTACGGGTCCTAAAAAAAAAATGACCCTCCTCTTTTGCTTCATTCATACTCTCTTGCACGCATTTCTCTGTAACTTTTTCCACTTCCTTACTATTTATATATATGTTATGTATAATTTTATCTCTTTCTTTCTCTCTCTTTCTCTTTCTCTCTCGATCGCCTTCTCCATTTCGCAAGGGAGGCGCCGAAAGGGAAGAGCAAATGGATGCTGACACAAAGCGGGAGAGAAAAGTGGAGCGAGAAGCCAAAGAGTCATATATCAATCACATATATGTATATATATATATGTATATATATATGTATGT